TACACTCTTTGGTAAATCATGGTAGTTTCTTCAGCTTAACCAGTGAGGGAAGGGGGATCTGGGATAATACCAGCAATTATTTCTTTATACATATAGTCATTGTTTATAAGGGCAAGTAAGTATTCAGGAAGATCCATAACAATGCTCTTCTCCCATCTCTGATCTGTACTTTTGAGAAATAAAACAATCTTATTTGGGGATAATAGTACTTAATCTTTTGACAGCAAGCAAGGATTTAGGCAAGCCAATTGGGTATATCCTCATTGTATCTTCTACCAAAATAGCCTGGTTTTGAGTCACTACATTTTGGAAGGAGGACTTCAGAAGGATCATGAGAACAATGAATACAAGGTTGTTACCTAATCTTAAACTATGCTATTGATACATTCTGGGGTTGCCTAGGAGTCTAGGATGGAATGATACCTAATACTTTTTTTCCCTATCTTTGACATAAATCATTTTTATATTGCTGGCTTCTATTAATATTATGCTAAATCCATTTGATTTTAGTTTAGCTTTTAATGGTAAAAAGTTTAATTCAAAATATTTGACTAGTAATCACACTTGGGCTTATTTACAAATAAGTAAAATTACGAATCTAAAGAAAGGTTCCACCACAAAACCGCGCCCAACTAAACCACGTCGCTGACGTCAACAGGGCGACAAGAGCGCGGAGACAGAAGCACGCTGTAAACCCTAAACCTAAAATTAACCCCTAAACCTAAACCTAACCCCCCTAAACCTAATCCTAAACCTAACCCTAAACCTAACCCTTAACTTAACCCTAACCCTAACCCTAAACCTTAACCTAACCTTAAACCTAATCCTAACCCTTAACCTAACCCTAAACCTAACCCTTAACCTAACCCTAAACCTAACCCTAACCCTTAACCTAACCCTAAACCTAACCCTAAACCTAACCCTTACCTTAAGTTGAATTGGCTTGCTTTCAAAGCGCTATTTAAAGCGCCCTTCTTTCTCTGCGCTGGCTGTTGTCGCCCTGTTGATGACATCAGCAACGCAGTTTAATCGGGCGCGGTTTAGTCGAGCGTGGTTTTGATGGGTCACACTAAAGAAATACCTTTCAGCTACAAAAAGCAATTCTGTTTACCTTATGTTGAAATCACTAACACCTAACATACTATGACTGTCTTATCCAATCCATTTTCATCAGTCATAAGCATAATACAGGCATGGAAGAAGGCAATGGCAAGCTACTTGCATACTGTCACAAGAGCAAGACATGCCTCATGAAATCACCGTGTCAAGTTCAGTCTACTGAAGATTTTATCTTTCTTTGCCAAAGACCATATAAGGCATAAAAGACCATATAAGGCATAGTTGATGTGACATTAATGACATTATTATGTCATTTCAACCAAAAAAATTACTTTGGAAATTGTCCAGCTAGGAAGACAGCAATATTAATAGGAAACAGCTGTGTTGATGTCATTCCAAGATGTAAGTTTTAAAAGTCTTACTATGGTTGATAAACAGCAATATATATATATATATATATTAAAATATTTAGTTTCTAAGGGAAAATAACCCTTAAAGCATAGTAAATTATCTCTAGTGTTCAAAACTTTTAACTGTAGTTAGTTGCCAAAATGTAGTTAAGTCAGACAACTAAGAGAGATTTTAATTTCCCATAAAAGAAAAATATCTCCCATTGATTCCAATTGTTGTAATTTATACAGAGGGGTTGTGTTGTTCGGGAAGCCAGGATGCTCTCAATGATACTCAACTATCTTGAATTCAATATGACCCTTTTGTGTACATGTAACAATTTCTAAAAAATTCTTTTCCTATTTATAATAAGATGCTGGCAGAGCAAAAAGAGAACAGTATGGTCAGAAAAAGGTAGAAATCAGACACAAACAAAAACTTTTTCCTAGAGAATCATCCAATACTATACCTCTATTCCAAACTAATCTTGTTCTACAATTATTTTGCCTAATATAGCTTAGAAATGTTCTTCTATTACTATTGTATTTTCATTGTGTTTTGGTTTGTCTTTCCTTCCCAATGCCTTGCTTCCTGTCATGTGTCTCATTTTTGCTTTTTGCTCAATTTGGAGATGCAGTAAGGACTAACAGAAGCTACAGATAAGAAAGCCAAACAATTGTATTTGATTGACGTGAAGTGTTAATACCACTTTATAATGCCTTGGTAAGGCCACACTTGGAATACTGCATTCAGTTTTGGTCACCACGATGTAGAAAAGATGTGGACACTCTAGAAAGAGTGCAGAGACCAGCAACAAAGAGGATTAGGGGACTGTAGACTAAAACATGA